AGGCCTTTGGCGAGTTACATAACATGTGCGACTTAGGGGCGGAGTTTAATGCCATGCTGCACATTCTACCACATACTAACAAATACTACTTAACAGAGATGTACAAATAACAAATCTCCTATGTTATTAAAAACTATATTATCTTAACATTTTCATATTGATACATTTTTGGTTCACGGTGATAGCCGAGGGCTCTAGCAATAGATTAAAAATTCATTTTAAAAATCATGTATCATCTTTTCCTATATTTACTTTTATTGATATATTTTTCTCTCTCATTCCACACACTAGTAATTGATTCAGGCAGAGAGCTTGTGGCCTTTGGCCTTATTGTTTTAAGAAAAAATATTTCTTTGTTGTTTTTAATATATATTCCTTTTAATGTGTTTTTCTTACAATATTGATATGCCGTCAAAAGTCTATCTCCAGGCGCAATATATATCTAATTGTATTCTGAAATGCAATGCGAAGTGACAGAAGCATGACCAGAGAGGTTTCTATTTATATAACCAACCTATGAATTTCCAGTGCTTCTGAAATATTAATATCAAGCTTCAATTTTTAAAATCCAACATGGCAGCCTATCGGCAAATCGTATAATACTGAACATTTTCGTCAGGTTGGAAAGTAAGGATTATGTAAAGATTCTTTATACACAACCAGGAATTTTAATATGTGACGTTTCGGTGACCAGTACGATGCGTACGCTGTCACCTTCCTCAGACAAATGACCAGTAAAGCATGTACACAAAGGTGTGATATGGGTACGAGTTGTCGTGGAATAGCGTCGATTTCGGACATGCTGACAAGTGCCGAAATGACTGTTAGCGAATAGTAAAACCATTCAAGCTGGTCAGTGTTGGTCTTCATCGTAAAATAATGTAGTTATAATTGTCAATATCGACCATATCTAATGCCATGAAGATGTCGGTTTGTAGCGAAATCTACATCATTTGAGGTTTGTCTTTAATCTTTTGCTCTTATATCGGGTGGATATGACATCGTACAATGTCTCGTGAGTGCCGATATATCCTGATCTCGTAGTCACCATCATCACTGAGGTGGTCACTTATGTAGCCACCTGCCAATAATATTTGGTATGTGCCACAGGATATTGTTCTAAGGCATTCCATGAATAAATTTGGAAAGTCATAATTATCTGCAGACACATCTAGTTTGACAGTATAGACTTGGCCCTTTTGGTAAGATCTGACTCGTTTTTTTACACGCTGAGCTAAGTTGTTGTGAACATTAAGACGCGCTTTCATTATGGCAGTCAGCACTCTATCGACTGCGTCTCGCTCTTGTGTTCTTGTATATATGAGTCCTCGGATTCCATTGGGACAGGCTGTTACTATTCTAACGAGTACCTAGAAGATATTAATGAAATAGTTGGGGGCAAGTTGGGTTTTGAAAACAGCTATTGCTTGAATCGTCCGTGATATGATATAGCTATGGGTCTATCAAGGTAAACTTGCAGGTCATCATGGTTCTAAATCTGGCAAAACATTCCTACCATCCTCGATCAACAACCACGTTGCCATCTTTCCTCAGGCAAGAGAGAATATCCATGATGGCTTTTGTAATATTCGCATCATTATCATATCCAGGTAAAAGCCACACTGTGTCCAGAATGTAACCCTCAGGCAGGGATATGCTCATGAACTTTAAATAGTTCCGCTTCTTCTGGCAACAGTAGAAAACCTCTATAGTCAGTGATCAGAGGTCTTAGGAATACTATCTACCATCAAGTATGACCGTGTTGTGCTCCAGAATAATTTCTCTTGTCAGATATTCTTTCCAAGGAGGAAAGGAAAAATAGTTTTTACTATGGAATGAAATGTTTTCGATATACTGGAAACTGTCATGTTGAAAAGAGTGAAACACTGTTTCCATAATATGCCCGTCTTCATTTTTACCAAGAACAATAGTAATCAATCCTTCATGGTTTGGAGTGTGGATTCCAGTGCCAATAGAGGATGAACAACAAGAAAGGATTTTCAGAAACTGTGTTCTTGTCCAACCAGTCCAGGCGTTACAATCTGCATCATTCAGAGAGGAGAAACGCAGAGTAAAAGAAGACTCCTGCTTTGATAGCATATATGATATCTCCAAAAGATCGTTGATGGTTTTCTTTGATCTGGAAAGTCACCATGAAATTTTCTATCTGGTAACCTAAAAAAATACAAACTGTTTTGTGACAGGACAGGTTTCAGCGCAAAATAGCAAGTGCTGTCTTACTTTTATCTGACTGTTCCATTTCGTCACCTGGGATGAGGAGTTATACTGTTCAGCCAGGTTTGATTGGTTGTTTTCAGGTTTTCCGTTGCCGTGATTGGTCCGATCGTTAGGCGTGTTACACATTATGCGCGACACGCCATACTACACATACTAACACATACTACCCCCATACTATTCAATAGAGATATGCAAATAACAATTCAATTTCATCCAAAACTATTCATCATCTAAGCAACATTCTTATTATAAAGTTACATTTTTGGTATAAATAATATGGTAGAATGAAAAATTTAATTCAACTTCATAATAAGTTGTTTCGTTCTCCTAGAATTCTTTAGTGATGTTAATGGTCTAAGATATGAAACCTTGTAAGAGAATGAAGAAAATCTCCGATGGTATTGATCTAATTATCGTTGGTCAACTGTATTGTTTGTTGATCGGCAGATGAGGATATCAATCATATAAGGATACATGCTTTCATCTTGTTCATCCGAAAAATCAAAAGGGAAATAACTCTTACTGTCATACCACAGGAGCTTCCGCCTAGCTATACTGGGTAATTCTAATACAGAATTACTTTAGGGATACATAGGCTATTGTAGAAAGGTTATAAAACACTCTCCATGACAATTTAGAAACTGCTGCCGCCTAGTTCGAAGCGAAGGAAGGAAGACCGTAGAACCGTTGTTCTTTCGCACAGCTGTTCCAGAATATTCATAATTTCAAAATGATATTGATAAAATGAATTGAATTATGTCTTTTTTAAATTCTGTTGAATAATCGTATTTAGCCTGAGTAATACTGTTTCATCATCATCTTATTCAAAATGTCGGACTACATTTTTAACGTAATCCATTAGACGTGCACAATTTCCAGTAACTGAAGACTCCGATCTGTCAAATATATTGAAAACAAACCGTTTTAACTGGAATATAAACATTGAATCTTTCTTTTGTCAATTTTATGGGGTGATGAATTGAGTTGCTCTTCAGACAAATTCAAAATGAATTGACTCGAAGTTCTAATTTAACAATTCATTCAATTTCAAGATCAACTCGATTCCTCACCACAAGAAATCGACAAAATAAGGAGTCAATGCTTAACACACGGGCTTGTTCCCATTATCATTATTTTCGTACAAGATGTCGACAACTTCTTGATAAACTCACGGCAAACTATTTCGAGAAATGCAAGTTGATGACGATCATGGGAAAATTATACATTCGTCATTGAGAAATATTACAATTTCATGTTAACCTAATTTTTTTTAAATATCTTACAATTGTTTCCATGATTATACGTTTGAATGCAGATGATATTGACATGCTCGTATTTTCTTGTGAGAGCAATGTACATTTGGTCATTGGTCTTGCGACTGTTTGAACTGGCTGTGCCATGTAAGATATGTACAGCAGTTTGACAGGCTTTCGTGAAGAAAGAAAAAAACATTTAAGATGTTAAAACAAAACATTTTAAATGTCAATTAGTTAAATTAAAAAGATAATAACAATTGTAATGTTATTGAATAATTCATTAGCTTGAATTCTTTAATTTGATTTCTTTTGACGTTGGCAATTATTTCGAACTTGAAAAAAAATCCGAATGATGGCTCAAAGATGTCTATTCCCACTGAAGGAAATTCACTAAACATTGATATTTCATGAAATGTCAGGAATTAGGTCATTACCTGCTTTTAAGCAGCAAATCGATAATTTCGCGATACTCATTTGGTATAGCGTTGGCCTGAGTAACGTTCGGTGAAGAACCGAGGTGCGTCCTTTGACGCCCCATACATGTACCAATGGCAACGTAGGGTTCTCTATAATCTAAAAAGCAAAAGCAGGTTGGTCTGTTTTGTTGTATTTGTGACATTTTATCCTACTATCTCTGAATGACATGTGACGGGTATCTAGTGATTTGTTCAGTATGGTAACCACTTGCTTCTACTTGGATACTGTCTAAAAATGACTGTTAAACATTTGTGCCGTGGATGGTATGCGGCGACCGTCCGTATGTTATTCTTGCTACTGCATCGTGACCTTGCCTCAAAATGACCCTGGTGATGGAGCGATAAATCCGGCAAACAAACTAACGCAGCTTCTGGTCAAGAAATCAATATGTTTTAGCGTAGTTAAGAGTTCGGTTTCTGTTACAATCTCTTTTGAGATTTTTTTCTTATTTGCGCTTGGTCAGATAAAAACGTGACGCTTATGCAGCAGAGGAAGGAAGACTTCCATTTCTACACTACAACATTTTAGTTGCATTGAATATTTTCTAGTGCGAATGTATCTGTTTATCCTCGTATGGTCTCTTATGTACTTGTATATATTTACTTTATTAACTTTAATTGTGAATACTATATTTTTTAAGAAGAAATATCAACGAACAGTAAACTGAAAGAAATTCGAAGAATACATATACACATGTATTGTGGTAGGTGAAATAAAGAATCTTACTTTGTTGTTAAAAGTTGTTAGGATAATCGACAGTAATTTGCTAGACGGATTTTATATGTAAATCTATATTTATAATGGGAACCGTAGTTTATGTCATTTCAATATGCTACTGCGTTTCAACAAGAATAGAATTTTCCTCATTTTGAAAATACATTATAGTAACAGAATCCATAATAGTTTGATCCTATGTTTCTATAAGAAGTGAAATAGATATATAATTATAATGAAGTGTAAGACAGCCATATAATTACATCTAAAACCATTTCTACCCACTATTTTATATGTTATGATTGATAAAATGTGCTATAAGCACAGCGTCGTATTTGGCGTCTCTGTTAGATCTGTCCATTGTGAGATGTCTAAGTCTATACCCAGATCTCTGGCAACCCTTGACACTTCACAAACATACTTGAGAGCGGTCCTCTTTTGTTTTGCCGTAAAGATATTGGATACTTTGGTCACCGTTTTGTTCTCCGGGATTCGATGTTTTTTCCCCTCCTGATTCACAAAAGCACACCAGAAGTCCCTCGGGGTTACCGGTATTTTAAGATATCGAACTATCCTTGTCATATCTTCTACGAGATTTTGTTGCATATGCTCATATACAAGTATCATACCCTTCCTTTTAAACACATTCAGCCAGCCTATGTATGAATTTCTCCACTTAAGCAGTCCCTTTGTAACATGATTTGTCCATTCTGAAACACAAAAGATTTTATTCTTTAATACTGAAGCTTTATATTACCAATAATATTGTAATAATGTCATTCTAAACGATGACCGATATAAAATTCTGAACCGCAAAATGTATAGACATAAATAGGAACATTCTTGATAACGAAGAGGTGCCAATAAAGCATTGTTTATGAGTTTACAATAGTTTCGGCACTTACCATTAGCTGGTGAGACTTAAATTGTGTAGCGTTTACACTCTGTTAGTATGTGTGCACGAATATATCTCAATATACCATATATTAACAACAGTATATGTGGACTGAACTGTGTCTCAGTTCTCTCAACTATTTATGTCGAACCACGACTAATGTCACCGGAGAGCTTTTGACCAATCATCAATACCTTCTTCTACAAAAAAACCCATTTCTTTCATCAGAACCTTTGGTTTTTTCCACTCTGTACACCAACATACCCTAAACACGTCTTCGTTCTATTTTTATGAGAGTGAACATGTCTAGCTTCATTTCGCACAACTATATAAAAAAAATTATTCTAGGTATGTAAATAATATTATCGGAAAAGACGGAAACTGTTGTTACTTACTTGACGAAAAGAACAATGACGGATCTGCATACCCTTTGTGCCTCTCTATTGCGGTGCGATTAGACAGTGGCTTGTCTTTTTGTTTTCCATATTTGAAATGGAAAAATGACTTCGAAGAATACAACGGGTTCCTTATGATAATTATAGCATTGTCGAATCGTTTCAGAACTTCAGGCGTATGCCTGTGCATTTTGAACACGATACAGCCTCTCTTTCTATTGGATGGTGCACATGTTGATATTCCTGAAACAAATGACTTTTTTAAACATATGAAAATATTGTCAAACTCGCATATAACGAATTTGTGGGACTTCGAAAAAACTAAAGTTGTGTCCGGAATTCGCTATTCCCGAATCGGAGATCTTACATTATATCAACATTATACAGAACATTTATCTTAATCATTTATATTCGTTTTAGTTTCAGTTTTCTTCTCAACTAAATATCCTGATATGTGGAGACATGCTTCAATATTATCGTGCTAGTAATTTCAATTCAAGATGTTTGTCTATCGAGTCACACGGGGGATTGAGTAATTATAATTAAACTGAATGATCGGTATCGTGTTCATGTAATTTTGCTATAAAATCTTCGAATAAGAAATGAACGAATTCTGGAAACAATGAAGTGTTTTTCACGGTCTCCAGATATTCGTTATAAGCCATGGTGGCTGTACATTAGATAATGATTAAGCATGTGACATAGATCCAGGGAATGAAGTATGTTTGTGAAATGACATTAAACTAATTTGTTCTTGAGTTTGATTTTTTACAGGGTATTGGGCCTTCGGTGTATAACCGACCTAAAGTATTATTGAGACACTTCATGGTATTGATTTCGGCTATAGTTGGAAATTTTGTCTTTATTTCATGTTATGTGTATGTCATAAAACTTTTGTAATACTTTGTGTCTTGATAATGGGTAAGATTGTCTCGAAAATATGATAATATATTTGATCGTACTGTCAATATTACCTCATTAATAATAGATAATTAAGAAGATAAATATATACAACATTTGCACTCCATCCATAGAGCTCTTCAGAATATCAATTTGAACCATATAAAGACTTCATAATAAGAGTGCAATGTATCTAATTATTTACTATTTAACCGATGGATGTGTCATGTGTCTGTATGTGTATTCCGAATAAGTAGTCATGTGTAAGCAGACACTCATAGTTGTGTGTTTGTGAACATCAGAGCTAGTAAATTCGATTAATATATTATACGACGAAACTAAAACAAAATCTAAAGGTACACAGAGAAACCATGGTAAAAAAACCTATTCTGCGCTATTTAAACGTGTTTTTACATGATATAAATATAGTAAATTGCGTTAATGCACACAATAATCAGCACCTTTCAACATGATAAAGAAAATATTAGTAATTATCGTGTAAAATTAACAGCTGTTCACATACTTTATTTACTACAACTTACAATCAGTTCTGTACCTGAAAGTTGCTCGATAAGATGTCTGGTCCACGAGTTTCCGGATGCAGGATAACTTAGAAGTGCTGTTGTGGATTTTTCGTCCATCAAAGTCAAGTTCCTTAATGGGCACGATTCATTCTTAAACTTATTCTGTAGAAGTCCAAAGTCGAACTTCTCCTTCAATGCTGACAGTTGCTTTTCGTGTTGTATGGCGTTTTTGTAAGCAGATAAAACATCTCCAAATCGATTGAAATCCACATCTTCGAATTTTCTAAATGCTATATTGTATTGACTTTTCAAATGAAACTTCAACAAAACATAACATAGCATAATTGCGACTATAACAAAAATACAAGAAGTTTTTTGCTGGAACATGTTGCCGTGTATGATCACCTTTGTGGTCTGACTAATGTCTGACTGTTCTATGATGTCTCTTGAAATGAGGCCTTTGGCGAGTTGCATAACACGCGTGACTTAAGGGTGGAGTTTTACGCCATGCTGCACATATTACAACATACTACCTAATACTACTCAACAGAGATGTACAAATAACAAATCTCTAACTTATCCAAAAGTCTACATTGTCTTCGCAACATTTTTATAATACATTCTTGGCTCCCGGGGCTTTAGCACTTTTATTTGCATATATATTTTTTTCCTCTCATCACACAAACCAGTAATTTATTCGGGGAGAGAGCTTGTGGCCTTTGGCCTTTTGGTTTTAAAAGAAATATTCCTTTTTTTTTTTTTTGAGATATTCAAAAGTCTCCAGGCGCAATATATATCTAATTGTATTCTGAAATGCAATAAATGAGAAGTGAGTGAAGCACAACCAGAGAGGTTTCTATTTATAGAACCAACCTATGAATTTTCGGGTCATCTGAAATTGTGATATCAAGCGTCAACTTTCAAAATCCAACATTGCAGCGTATCGGCAAATCGATCCTTCGGAATATAGTAGATATGAAGGTTAACATACATACGAAATTTGAGAATAGTATGTAATATATATAATCGCTTTAGGGTGATTCTTCTTTGGCGGGACACCTGCTCGCTAGTGCGTTTGTCCGAGGTAGTGCAACTCAACACCTACACGTTAGTATTGTAAAGGCATAGTTATCGTAAATGCTGAATACAAATGTTAAATGTTTGTAGTGAAATACATGCAACAATTAAACTGCGTTCAATAATGACTATTTTTCAACATATTTTTTTTTAAAGTTTTGATTAAAGTTTGTAAGTGAAACATGAAGTTATACCTCATGTTTCACAGTTATTATTTTTTATCAATTTATACCAAAACATGACTCGGCTTTTAACTTCAACATATAAAGGAAATCTTCCAATCTCTCCAGAGGCCATTATGTTTGGTGTGCTCCTAATAGTATATGTTTGTTTGAAGACCTCACGACAATTCCAATCTGTTAGTCCACCGTCGCATCACTCGAGCTACTTTCATCACTATGATAGATTTAGAAAGATGAGGTTTGATATTGTTAGTTCTTGAGAAGTAGATGATAAAAGTACTGATAGAAAGAAATAAAAGATGCTTTAAAGTACGACAAACAAATCCCTGTTTTAAAAACAGATTTTAAAAGCCGTGGTGACGGAAGCTGATAACATCATACCCTGTTGCCATACATTTCCATAAATGTTTTGTTTGCGTCCAATCTATACACCTCAAAAGGGAGAGAATATACAACTCATTATAGACACAAAGTACATAGCGGTTTTGAAGTGTAGTGGTAATGGAAACTGTCATTATGATATCCTGTGGCCCTACAATTCTTTCAATATTTCGGTGGAGTCCTCGGCTATTACCGAAAGCCAAAAATATGTAAAGAATGTTTTTCTCAACAGTTTTTGGACGAAACTCGTTACTAAGATGATGTATATGTTGGATAAAATAATGCTGATGTGATTTTTTTTCATCTCTATTGAGATATGACATATTTTGATATTTCACTGAACATGGAGACGCAGACAAAAAACAACCGCACACTTGGATGTATACGGCAGATTATTACCACAATTTTACACAATTGTAGGTTACTCGCCATAACTCGAGTTCTCTGAACTGATCAATTAAAAATACAGACAATCTACAGATCGAGAAGGATTAGTATCATTTAATGATCAACAATGTTCCTATTTGTGTCTATACAATATGCAGTTCAGAATTTCATATCTGTATATCTTTTATATGTTTTTGTGTTTCAGAATGGACAAAACATGTTGCAAAGGGACTGCGTTGGTGGAGGAATTCATACATAAGCTGGCTGAATGTGTTTAATAGGAAGTGTTTGATTCTTGTATATGAGCATATGAAACAAAATCTCGTAGAAGATATGACAAGGATAGTTCGATATCTTAAACTACCGGTAGCCCCGAGGGACTTCTGGTGTGCTTTTGTGAATCAGGAGGGGAAAAAACATCGAATCCCAGAGAACAACACAATGACCAAAGTATCCAATACCTTTACTGCAGAACAAAAGACGATCGCTCTCAAGTATGTTTGTGAAGTGTCAAGGGTTGCCAGAGATCTGGGTGTTGACGTGGACATCTCACAATGGACAGATCTAACAGAGACGCCTAATACGACGCTGTGCTCATAGCCCTTTTTGTCAATCATAACATATAAAATAGTGGGTAGATTGGTTTTAGATGTAATTATACGGCTGTTCTGCGCTTTATCATAATTATATATCTATTTCACTGCGCGAAAGAGAAACGTCTTTACTGATTTCTACGGTTGTCCCGCTTCGTTTGGATCTGGACGGCAACAATTTTTTAATTGTCTTTTCGTGTGTTTAATGAACTTTCTTAGTTGCCTATGTATCTGTGGCATCAAGAACGTAGTCAACAATTTTTGTTGGAAATTTTCATTTCTTTTAAAAGAAGATATCATCTCTATGTGTTAACGAATCCTGGAATGTTTTTCATGATATGCGATTTTGAGTGTATGCTAGATAATGATTAAAGATTGGATTTCCAAATGGCCTAAAAAGCAAATACAGCTTGTATGTGCTGATGGTAAATCAATGAAAAAAGAAAGAAGGAAATTTGCATGTTTTGTTTGGTAAATGTTATAATTTAATTGATTCATTTTTAAAAAAGAAACCTAAAAATTTAATAACATGTTATTATATGCAATGCAAAAAACAGAGTTTTGAATACAAGAACAAGAGATTAAAATGTGATGGATTTAGAGAAAGAACATGGTATTTTGATACCAAGTAAAATTTCTGAAGGCCTATTTGAATTTCCAATTGTAGTCCATTCGTAAATATGTCTTAAAGAAAATCTTCAAACAATATTAAATAAATTGCCCAAAATAGTAAAATAGGAGTGTTGTACAAAGTTATTAAAATTTTAAGTCAAAACTAGCAAAGGGGAAATCTGTTTTGGATTGAAGTATTGCAAAGTGAACTGAAATGGTTTTATTAGTAAAAAGAGATTGCCAGCTACACTTATAACCCACCAAAGTGGAATTCCAACTTTCAAAATGGCCGTCATGTTCCCTGGTCAGCACAAAAATTTAAATATTCTTATAACTGCTAAATCAATATTCTAACATGAATGATGAAGGCTTTAAGTTGGTTTACACATTACACTACCTAACCTGGAATCCAATAATGCTTCTTCGTCCTAAAATCGGATTGATAATTCAGTGCTGATCTACATCGTACAGTAATGTAGTTAATTGTTAAAGTCGACCATGTCTAATGACTTGAAGATGACGGACAACCACTTAAAAGAAAATATGTCAAAAATAACAAAGAAATATTTTTGTTTAAACAATTAGGCCAAAGTATTTCGTGAGGTTTGTCTTAAACCTCTGGATGCAAAGGCTTACTGGTTTCCAAATGCATGTAGTGTAATAAAAAGTACAGGATATTGGCAACATGGGCACTACCCCATGGTTCTCTGTCCAGTGGGATCCTGACAATGATAAACCTTTATGGGATGAATGGCGTCGGAGCTGTCATTGCTGGATCGAAACGTTGTACTTTTACACTGCTCTTATGTCTCGAGTGGTTCTGACATCGTACAATGTATCGAGAGTGTCGATAGATCCAGATCTCGTAGTCACCATCATCACTGAGGTGCTCACTTATGTCTCGAGTGGTTCTGACATCGTACAATGTCTCTTGAGTGTCGATAGATTCAGATCTCGTAGTCACCATCATCACTGAGGTGCTCACTTATGTCTCGAGTGGTTCTGACATCGTACAATGTCTCTTGAGTGTCGATAGATCCAGAATTCGTAGTCACCATCATCACTGAGGTGGTCACTTAAGTAGCCAACTGCCACAGGATATTATCAGAAGGCATTCCACGTATGACTTTGGAAAGTCATAATTATCTGCAGACACATCTAGTTTGACAGTATAGACTTGGCCCTTGTGGTAAGATCTGGTTCATTTGTCACACGCTGAGCTTAGTTGTTGTGAACACTAAGACGCGCTTTCATTATGGCAGTCAGCACCCTATCCTTTGCGTCTCGCTCTTGTGTATATGGGTCCTTGGATTCCATTGGGACAGGCTGTTACTATTCTGGATTTAGTCATGGATCTACATTAGAGTTCCGTAGTATATGCTGAGTTTTAAAAATCTCCAAACTGTGAAATATAACGATTTTTAACTAATGTTGAGCATTCTATAAATGAAAACGCGAAGCGATTCTGGGGTTATGTAAACATTAAAAGGAAATCAGGGCGAATTCCAGATTCAGTACCTTATTCTGATCACAAGTCTGAATATAATGTTAAATCTGCAGAGTGCCTTAACTTCTGATAAAGGTTTCACATTAGACCAGTTACCTGATGTTCTAAATCACAACACTTTTGGAAATCCACTCTCCTCAATTGAAATTGACTGTATTAAAGTACTAAATTTTCTATAAAATATCAATGTAAAGTAGGCTTGATGGTATGATAATATCTCTGGTAAAGTTTTTAAAGAATGTGTACATGAACTGTGCGTTCTGTTTAACAAATCACTTCGCGATGGTATTTTTCCTGATTGTCTTAAAAAAGCAAATGCAAGTCCTATATTTAAGTCTTGTCTCAGAAACTGTGTTGAAAGCTACAGACCAGTGTCATCATTGTCATTATTGTCAAAACTTTGGAAAAGCTGTTGATGATAATTTTTCATCCTTCATTAATCCTCTGATTTGTAATGAGCAACATGATTTTATGCCTAATAGTTACAAGTATTACATGATTTTCTGATTTTGTGTCTGATGTACTTGATAAAAAGATGGATGTTCATGCTGTGTATACTGATTTTTCTAAAGCGTTTGACGAAGTCAGGCACAAATTATCATT